GAGAGAAAAGCTGTAAAAGCAAGAATGTCGGATTACGATGATAGTACGAGCGTCAGGAGCGTTCTCGATTCTGAGAAGTCTGATGCTGAGAAGTCTGAGGAGGGTACCGAACCAATGCCAACTTGGCAGAATCATCCGTGTGAGGAGAAAATGGGGGAATTCGAGAAGCTCTTACAATCGATGATGGACTCTCGCGACTCGTCACAGGAAGAAACTGAAAAAGAAGAAGAAATCGAGATCGAAGAGAAGAAAAACGTGATAGAAGGTTTGTCTGTTGTTTTTTTTTTTCTTTTTTTTTTTATTAACAGCTAAGCTAAAAGTATCGATTTGAATGAATTATTTTCATTTTTTGACGTTGACACAAAATATATATTAACCTCGTCGATCTATATTTATGGTGATAAAAAGGATTGGAAAAAAAAATTGAGGAAGAAGCGAAAAGAAATTAAACATCGTCGCGCGAGAAAAGGTTAAAAAAGCAATTCCCCGAACGTTAGACGGGGTTTGAAAGGGGGTAGGTGGTATGGGTAGGGGTTCGAGAAGAAGAGGGGGGCGGGACGGAAGAAGGGTGCTATGAATTTACGGGAGTCATTTAGTGTCCATTTTACGCCTTATTCGTATCAACTAAGCGTCGAGTTGAAGAGAAAGAAAGAGAGAAGGTAAGATAGCGGAAAGTTTGCTTTGGGGTAAAAAAAAAACAAGAAAAGAAAGAAAAGGGGTGAGAAAAAACGAAAGAAAGAAAGAAAGTAAGAAAAAGAGAATACGGGGAGATAGAGATAGAGAGAGAGAGAGAGAGAAAGAGACTTCCGAGAACAGAGAAGAGAACCCAGGTAACCTGTTGAGAGCTTCTGGAGAGGGCGAAAATGGAGAGCTTGCTGCAGCTTAACTTGGAGAATTTCCCAGACACACGCCAAGGGCATTACGAGGGAAAGTGGTGTTGAAGTCAGTTCTGCTTCTTGCGTTCGCACGCGCGCGCACACACCTTCAACTTGAAAGAAAAGGAAATTTCTTTAGCCCCGGGTTGAATTTTGCCCATTCTTTATTTTTATTTTCACGTTATTTTTCTTCTTATTTTTCTTTTTATTCTTTTTTTTTTAAGGAACAAGGATGATGCTATTTTCGCAAGTTACTGATATTTTTACGGATAAATAAAGACTCGTGGAGATAAAACTTATTTCAAATGCCGATAGTGTATTTCTGGGTGGAGAATTAGCGACGAGTCAGAACGTGGATTCGTTGATCTCGGCAAAAATTCTTTCCCCCTTTTTAGGAAGGATCAGAGAATGAGAGAGAGAGAGAGAGAGAGAGATCGTGTTCAGACAGAGATTAACTCTATTAGGAGGATAAAAATTACCACGCGAAAGAAACCCCCTCTTTATAGGTCTTTCTTACGTTTACGGAATAACGAAAGATCGCTAGTATTGATCGAAATATTAATCGTAATTGATGGTTCGGTTAAGTTTAGACTAAAAATATTTTCTTACAAATAAGACAAATTAATCGAATTATTTTTGTTTGTTTTTTTTTGGATAGAACGAACGTATTAAAAATAAAAGTAGAAAATAAACGGTACTTATTTATAGCATTTTCAAACAGACCAATCATCGTAAAACTCGATTGTCACGAAGTAAGAGAAAATTAAGGTCATAAAATGGGAAACCACAGGGAAACGTAGCAGCAGGTAACGTTTAATAGCATCGAGAGGACCAAAGTATCGTCACGCAATTTAGTAATGTCTCCTAGTTTCTGTCTCAGAATTCTGGCTGATTCTCTCATTCTCAGAACGTAACGACGATACCAACGTTAGGTAGGTACCACCACCTTCCTACCCTGAAAATACTAGCATAATTAAAATAATAAATTCTGTTGGCGGAGTAGGACGCCCTTAGCGCTGCCTAAATTAGTAACACGTAGTGGTGCTACGTATCGCGAATTCTCTCATGCGTTTCTCTGCTAGCCGCAAAAGGCGTGTCTTGAATTATAAACGTTAGTGAGAACAACATATGTTCTCTTTTTCTCTCTCTCTTTCTAACTATTTTCTTCCTCTCCCCGTTCTCTTCCATTTTTTCTACTACTTTCTTCCTTTTTTTTTTTTAGACAGATGCCCTAATCCTGAAGATCGTAAGGAAGGTTTGCCGCGCGTGTCGAGGTCGCTCACGAAATAGGGTTCTGATTTTATTAGGGAAATGTTCGTTAGGAAACGTACCTGGCGACGAGCCAATTCGATCTCACGCTTCGTCGAATTTATTCTCTGAAATTGCGGATTCCGAAATGCCCGGACGGATCCCAGTCTCTTCCTTTCTTTCCTATTCTTTTTTGCTTTTCTTTTCCCTTCGCATTTTCATTCTTTTTCTTCTTTTACTTCTTCTACTTCTACTTGTTCTTTCGAGTGGACGGACATCAAAACTGGACGATTCGGATGGTAAGTCAAAATTCGTGAATTCTTTAGCGTAATTCTTAAAACTTTTGCCGAGATATTTTTTCCTATTTTTCTTTTTTTCTTTTTCTTTTTTTTTTTTTTTGAAACTGGGAAACGTCGAGAATACTACATCCGAGGATTATCATAATGTCGCTCGTCAGCCTGAAACGCGCATAAGCGTACGTGACGAGTGCGTACTCCCAAAGTGACAGTATTTTCTTTTCCCTTTTCCTTTTTTTTTGTTCTTTCTATTCTTTTTATAAGCCTACTCTAGAAAAGTTTCCGTGCGTTCGATTCGACAGATGTGTCTTTTTCTTTCTTTTTTTTTTTTAATCTTTCGATCACCAGAATATTCTCATTCGTTGGTAGTGTCGAGTTTACGAGACACTGTACCCAACGTCTATATCGTCGGTTCTTATTTGCTCTTGGTTTATTTCTGTCAATCAGGATTTTCCGATCGGACGAGACCGAACGAATTTTACGAGAGGGCTTGCAAGGAATGTTGAATGATTCGCGAGTTGAATATCAAACACGAAGGTCGGAATAATACTTGCGAGTGTAGGAGTTCGTAACATTCGACGGTGGTTCGATCTATTGGATGTTACAGTATCTTAAAAATAATAGAGAAACTTTGGATATAAAAAACATTCTAATCACCCCACCCACCCCCTGCATTTAAGCAACACTTTATACGCAGGAATGATTGCGGATACTAAAGGAATTTTAATAAAGTTTCTCACTGATAGATGAAATTGGCAAACAGTTCATCTATCTATTTTCTGCATAAATATAAAATTAAATCGAATTAATAATAATTGAAATGATTGACATTAAATTTCTGGTTATAAATTTGTTCATTTATATTTTAAGCAAAACATTTAATATAACACATTATCCAAATAAATGTTTTTCTTTGCGCCGAATTTTTGTTTGGTCGCATCTAAACAAAAAAATTGCGGATTTTTTTCTTTCTCCTTTCCAAAAAAAAAGAAAAAAAGAAAAAGAAAGGAGGGAGAAGGAAGAAGACATTTTAAAGGCGTCGTCGGGGGGTAGTATCGCGACGTTGGATCGACGAAGGCGTCTGTGAAAAATGACATCGGGCTGAAAAGCTCCCTAAATAAGAAATCACTTTTGAAGTTGCACGGAGAGCGCATTATTCACTCGGTAGGAAAAGTCGAAAGTAAAATGGTCCTTCGGCTCCGCGCGGGATTCTCGGTCATCAATTTTCACGTCGCGTTTTCGTCGCGACAAAAAAAAAAAAAAGAAGAAGGAAAAAAGAAAAGCGTTTTGCACCGGAGGAGAAAAAAAGGGAGAGGGGAGTGGATCTAGGATCGAATGGAACGTAGAATTATCTATTTTGGCGTGTGCAACGCCGATAATCCGAGAGCTTCCTTTGTTGTTTGTAAAAAATGGAAGGAAAATGGAAAGACCGGAGAAGCAAAGGAAGGAATGGGAGAATGAAAGATCGGAACGATAACTCGACATGTTTCTTTTTTTTTTGTTTATCCTAAAGGACATTTCACGGTGATTAATCGAATGCTCTGTAATTAAAGAAAATAAATCTAAGTAATTGCGGGTGTTGTAATTGATGAACACCGTTCGTCGTACTTATTTTTTGAAATTGGAAAAGAGAGAGAGAGAGAAGGAAAGAAAGTATAATTTGTGCAAGGAGGATTTGGCTAAAAGGTGCATTTTACTTTATACAAAATAACAAAATTGTTGGAACATTTGAACGGAATAAAATTTTGCATTAGATTATATTCAAGAAATATCGAATAGTTATTTCGTTTCAATAGATTGCAATTTTCTTTCCGTATAATAGAACGCGAAAAGAATTGACCTATCTATCTCTTAAAGCTAAACTGTTTCCGGGAATTTATGTAGGCCAGTCGATATTTAAGCTCGACCAAGTTTTTTTCTTATTACAAAAGTCACTAGTTTAATAGATTAGATTAAATGGAGAAACTAATTCCAAGAATTTATGCACGTTAATTTTTCCTACGCGTACTCGTAATTTTTTTGGTGTAAGAATTGAAAAAAAAATTTTTAAAAATACCATAAAAAAAATAATATCCCTATAATCATCTATATACGATATTTGAATAATTAATTAATAAATTATGTAAGATATACTCACTACTTTTAAATTCCCCAAATTTCTTCAAAATCCATTGATCAAAATCTTGGTGAAAATTTGCCGGAGATGTTGCTTTATCTGATGGTTCTGTAGCAACTGGAAAGGTTTCTTTGCAAATAGTAGTAGTAGAAATATGTAATGGATAAAAGACGGATCGCGTGCTATGTCAGCCGCGTTTCAGGACATTTCGTGCGTTCCGTGACAATAGGTTTGCCAATAAGCAAGCGACCCTTCTCCAGAGACACGATCATTGCCAATGGTAGTGGCAACGGTACCAGGCTCAGTCCGTACCTGGTCTTCTGACCTGCTTGCCAAGCTTTAAAGTAATATTATTAGAACTTAGACAAATTTCATCCTAACTAGTTAAGAACATTAATTATTAATAGAGGTCTCTCTTTCTCTCTTTTTTTTCTTTCTTTCTCTTTGTTCATTTTAACAGAAGACATGACTGCACCGGATGCACCAACGGATTTTCGTCTAGAATATATAGGCGGATTTATACAAAAGTCACTTAAATTGAAACCGGAAAAATGGGGAAAATTATTATTGACCGAAGAATACAGGAACGCTGTATTAGATTTTCTGAACAATCCATTACCGATGACACTATTCGTTGTATTGACACCGAACGTTCAATTGGTAGCATCAACTTCTTTTCCGATACCATGTCAGAGAATGAAAGGTAAGAGTAGATAAAGTCAAGAAACTACACAAAGTTAAACGATATCATGAATTTTCGTTAAATCGAATGAACTTCTTAATCGCAGGTCTTTATATTGTAAAAACAATCAAAGCGCCATTACCAAAAGAGAAAGGTGATTATTCGTCGTTGTTAATAATCGGTGATCTATCTCATCGCGTGGTCGACCAATTGGCAACATTGATTGATAACGTTTTCGCACCTCTTCTGAGTAATCCCAACAATCATAAGGAATTACCGGATGTTACGATTCAGGATATCTCGAAACACGTGCACTCGCTCAGAGGTACTTTGTATCAGGTGAACTTTCTGTTTATTTTTTTCGGGGGTTGGTGGGTAGGGGTGGGAAGGGGTTGTTGGGGGAAATTGTAATTCTAAGTAAAAGATTAATCGGTCGAATATCAAGGACGATTAAAAGGACCGTTTTCCTCGAGACGATCAGGTTAAAGGTCAAGTTAATGGGAGGACAGTTTTACCGATGCCAGCCGGCTTGGAGAAGGTGACGGAGGTTGAGAGATTGGTCTCGACGGTAGGACCGCAAGCGGTCGATTTGTATCTGAAGAGCGCCATCGAGGGTGTCGTGATAAAGTGGGCTTATTTGGTGAATGACGTTGTCACTCAAGAATCGAGCGCCGCTTTTGACAACGGTCAACAACCAACGCCGAACGTTGAACTTGATTATTGGTCCGTCAGACTGGCGAATTTAAGGTGATATATCACTAACTATATTAAAGGACAAACAAAAAAAAGTAATAATGATATTATCGAGATAAATCATATTCTTTGATTTGTTGTTTTTTTCTTTCTAGATATATCTACGATCAGTTGCAGGAAGATAGAGTAAAGAAAATGGCAACGATTTTAGAGAAAACCGAGAGCGCATATTTTCCTTGCTTTCGTACGCTCTCGGAAAATGTAGTGGCATCTTTGGAAGAAGCAAAAGATATATCCTTGTATTTGATGCCATTGAACAAGTGGTTTAAAGCTCTCGAAGAAACCGAATTTTCCGAGACTAAACCATTGATGGGAATTTTGATACATTCGCTAGGATTGGCTTGGGCTAATTCGCAATATTATCAGAGTTCTTCCAAACTGATAATCATGTTAAGACAAATATGCAATCTGTTGATACAAGTTGCACAAAGATTTCTCGATCCTACGTCAATTTTTCAAAGCGACGTGGACGAAGCACTTCAACGCGTGCAAATATCGCGAGGTATGAATATAATATACAAAAGCTGATATATTATAACATAAATCTTACATTTTCAGACATTCTGGAAGAATTCAAACGTCAATTCGAGACAAGAAGGAACATGCCTGGTATGAAACCTGATTCACCACCGTGGTCTTTCAATTCCGGCGTAATTTTTATGCGTCTCGATGCGTTCCTCAAACGTTTGGCTGATATCGAGTGGCTATTCAATACCGTATTAGAATTTGCCAAACTTGAGAAGATAGAAATCGGTGGTATTCTCGGTAGATCCCTCAGCGTAAGGATCATCGATATTTTCAAGGAATTTCAACACCTTTTTGTTGCATTAACGGTACAAACAAATGACGTACTCGATCCGGACGATGAAACATTTACATTAGACTGCGCCAAATTTAATTCATCCATTACCGATTTGGATAGTAAATTGGCCGTAATATTATGTCAGTCATTTGACGATTGCAGTAATCTCGAGAGTGTGTTCAAGGTATACTAATATTTTATTAGGCACAATAATTAGATAAGTAAATTATTTATCAATTAATATTGATTGAAAATAATTTTTCAGTTGATCAATATCGCAGGATCGGTGTTGGATAGGCCAATGATACGCAAGCAATTTAACAATCGTTATTCAAGGATTCTGGAGCTTCTTAACATCGAGTTGACCGTTGTTGAAGCTTTGTTCAATCGTGGGACAAAAGGTGCTCTGGCTGATCTTCCACCTCTGACAGCTTCTTTAACTTTTACCAGTATGCTTAGAAAACGAATCGAACGACCAATTCAAAATTTCAAAGCCATGCCAAATCCGTATGTAAAAGAGTCTCTCCTTTTATCGTTAAATTGAACCGATAATAATAATAATAATAATAATAATTATATTTTCAGCATCGTTAATACCGAAGAGGGTATCGCCATAATCGAACGTTATGAAAGACTCGTTAATATTATTACGAAAAAAGAAGAAAATCTTTTCGTTGAGTGGGTGGAAGCTGTTCCAAGAACAGTTGACGCCGGTTTGAATTGTAATTTAATGATCAAAGATCGACGCTCGATTTTACAATTAAATTTCGATCCCGATCTATTAGCCATTTTGAAAGAAGTCAAGTACTTGAAGCGCATGTCACGTTCGGATATTCCTCAGGAAGCACTAGAGGTTATTACTTTATTTATCTTAATCAATAATCTTTGTAGATATAAATATATAAATTGTAATAAAAATGTAACAGAAATTCAAAAAATAAATTTGATAAATCAGGTGTCGGAGAAAGCAGAGACATTTAGAAAATTTCATATGTTACTTAACGCGACTATCGATTCTTACAATGACACTCGAAGATCAACGAAAAACGTCGAACTCGATTTGATCAAATCCGAATTAGCGGAAATTGATTTGATGATACACCGAGGCGAGTCCGAACTCTGTTGGCGATCGGAAGGACTTTTGGAATACATTGTCAAATTGGAAGAACTCGTAAATGGGCTTTGGAAACGCGTGAGAGCTGCTCAAACGAACGTGAACAAGATTCAATTGATTTTGGAGCCTTTGACGAAGATGCCACTTTTCGGTAGAAAGGATTGTCGTAAGGATGCGTTGCTTTGTTTAGAGGAACGACAAGAAAGAGTATCGAAACGTTACGCTGAGGTGACAAAAATAGCCGAACAAATACACTCATTGTTGGAGGAAAATAAACATTTATTTCAAATCGATGATGATGATGATGATAAAAAAGAAGTTTGGAAAGATTATGTCAAATACGTGGACGATATAGTGATCGAGTCACTTCGCAAAGCTGTTGGATGTACGCTTGGTTATTTGGCAGACAACATGGATTCGAGTGTTCAAAACGAGCCACTTTTAGAAGCCAAATTAGAATTGAGAGAACCCGATCTTTATTATGCACCATCCTTGGAACCTGACGATCCCGATGGTCTCGAGCAACTTATTGCAGGATTATTGAACGATACCATTGGTATGGCTACTCTTATTTCACGATTGAGGTCTGATTATATTGACTATGTCGAGGAATTGGAAAACGATCCTGATATCAAGGGCATGAAAAATGAAATATTAGAAAGTTTAGCTAACGCGATAGATGAGGCTATCGATTTTTGTGGCAATTTCGAAGGTATACACGATTAGAACATATTGTTAATGAAATAATAAATTAACTCTGTTTAATTAAATCTGTTATCCGTTAATCGTTTGAAATTAGGATACGCTTTTCTTTGGCTCGAAGATAGGGATGTGGTAATGCAACAATTTCTCGAATACAGTCGACAGTTAACGATGGAGGAAATGGAGATGGTAACGGCACAGGATCCCAAGGGTCCAGTGCGGTCCGCGCCGAAGAAGGAGCAATTTCGCGAACAAATCGATCTCTACGAGGGTCTTTATCTCGAGATCGAGGAGATGGATCTTTCGAGAGTGTTTTGCGGTTGGTTCAGAGTAGACATTCGACCCTTCAGACAGTCGGTCCTGAATACTGTTTGTAAATGGTCGAATATGTTTAAAGCACACATGGTTAATCACGTTACTAGCAGTCTATCGGATCTCGGAGCTTTTATAAGGTTATAGAAAAAAATCAATAGGATGTTTTCTCCTTTATTAATAAAATACGAGCCCAATTGTAAGTACTTAAATATCGATTTAGACGGGCGGACGAAGGTTTGTTGCAACAAGTACAACCAGGAGATTATCTGGGACTCGTTAGTATTATGGGGTATTTGATGCAAGTTAAAGAGAGACAACCTACCACGGACGAGATGTTCAAACCCTTGGAAGAGACCGTAGAATTACTCAAGTTTTACGATCAAGATATTCCCGAAGAAGTGAACGTATTACTTAAAGAACTTCCAGAACAATGGGCCAATACGAAAAAATTGGCCCTCATGGTGAAACAACAGGTTGCTCCCTTACAAGCGGGTTAGTAAAACTTTTGCTAACTTTCTCTCTCTCTCTCTCTCTCTCTCTCTCTCTTCTTAGGTCTTTATTTTTCGTATTACAAAAATCATTCAAACGAAATATCACGTATCCTAGGCGAGGTCTCCAGAATTCGTAGTAGAATTTCTGCATTCGATACGACGATCATGCTTTATCGCGAAGCATTTAGGCGTAATGATTTCTTCAAATTTGACTGTCAACAACCTTACGAATTGTTGGACGAAGCCCATCAAGAAATTCACATGTTGGAATGTCAAATGAGAGACATACAGGAATCGGCCTCGTTGTTCGAAGTGATTGTACCAGAATTCAAGCAATTGAAGCAATGTAGAAAGGAATTAAAGATGCTTAAACAATTGTGGGATTACGTGAACATCGTAGTGAGCAGTATAGACGGATGGAAGACTACACCTTGGAGAAAAATCGATGTTGAGAATATGGATATCGAGTGTAAAAAGTTTGCCAAAGAAATACGAAGTTAGTTCCAATTAATACTTAAAATTGAACTGTGAGTTGCATAAACGGAATTATGCACCGATTTTAATAAAATTTAGTTATTGCTGTCATCGATTGTAAAAGCACGTGTATTACTTTGTAAACGATTAATCATACAAAATTTATAATTTATTAAAAGACCAAGCGTTTTTTTTTACTATCTTAATGATAAATGAACTAATCGTGTTAGTTGGTCTGTTAATACATAAAACGATCCACAATTCGTGTATTGTTTTTTGAATTAATAATTAAACTAAAATTAATTATTATATTTGTTTACTTGATTAGCTTTAGACAAAGAAATGCGTCAATGGGATATTTACATATCGCTCGAAGCTACTGTGAAAAATATGTTAACATCGTTGCGTGCAGTCGGTGAACTTCAAAATCCAGCGATTCGAGAAAGACATTGGCGTCAATTGATGAACAGTACGAAGGTATCGCTGTTACGTATTTGATGAAATTTTCATTATTGGGATAAGTACGATTAAGAAATCGTTTTATGAAATTTATGATATTTATTTTTTTTTAATACTAATATCGGCTAACTTTAAATCGCGAATGTTGCCTTAATGTATATTAGAAATAGTTGCACTGCTGTATATATACGCTGTCGATGTTGCAGAAATTGGGCTACATGACTCCAGAGATGACCGTAAGTTCACTGTATATAAAGTGCACCGCATAATATATTTTTTTTAATTATTGTATCGAACCTTTTTTTTTCTCGATTCCTGCTTTGATATCATAACATCAGAAGCATTGTTCATTTTGTTTAAATTAAATTATTTAGACATTTTAACATGGTTTCAATTCATTTTGGATAAATATATTTCTATAATATACTGCATCTCTCTCCCAATATTCATTTAATATCATAATCATAATGATCATTGTAAAATATCATATTGTACACTTATTAAATAAATTCATTGTGCAATACATCGTTCATGAAAACGAATACGCACTCGATCAGCCTTGATCCTTTCGTTCCTAAATTGGAAATATAAAAGATAGAATATATTCCGAATGATGAACAATACGTTAGACAAGATTCCATTGTGTAGGTGCGTTTTGTAATGGACGAATTGACAAAGTTGGCCGATTTGCTCGAATTGAATCTTCACGAGTGCGAGGAAGAAGTGAAGAACATCGTGGATAAAGCGGTTAAAGAAATGTCGATGGAGAGATATATGAAAGAATTGAACGTAACTTGGTCGAAAATGGAATTCGAAAAAGAGATTCACGTTAGAACGGGTGCGACTTTGATCAGAGCGAGTGAAGAATTAATCGAAACTTTGGAAGAAAATCAGGTACCCGCGCCTGATCACAAACTATTATCTAAAAATATATCAGCTTGAAGTGATTCGATCGATTTCCACGATAAAATTGATTACAGGTTCAATTGCAAAATTTAATCACGTCCAAGTTCATAGCACACTTCTTGGAAGAAGTTTCTGCTTGGCAAAAAAAGTTAAGCGTTGCTGATCAAGTTACCACGGTTTGGTTCGAAGTACAACGAACGTGGATGCATTTGGAAAGTATCTTCATGTCATCCGAAGATATTCGTCGTCAATTACCCGTTGACGCTGATAGATTTAATAAAATAGATAAGGAATTTAAAGAGATGACAACGGAAATGGCAAAGACACCGAATGTTATTGAGGCAACGAATAAAGAAGGTTTGGTAGCTGCATTGGATATACTTCAAAAGGAGCTTGTCCTGTGCGAGAAAGCATTGGCCGAATATTTGGAAACGAAACGTTTGGCCTTTCCTCGATTTTACTTCGTATCTTCGAGCGATTTATTAGACATTCTGTCTAACGGAAATCAGCCGGAAATAGTAGCGAAACATTTGACGAAATTGTTCGATTCAATGGCTCGATTAAAATTTGACGATTCGAACGAGGAAACGATTAAGCGCGTATCAGGTTAACATTAATTAGAGAACACGATTATCAATTAAATGTAAAATAAATGAAGGTAGGAAGATTAATTAACATATCGCTGTTTCCTTTTTTTTAGGAATGTTCGCTAAGGATGGAGAGTACGTGGAATTTTGTAATTGCGAAATGATTTGCGATGGACCGGTCGAGGCTTGGTTGAATCGACTTCAACGTTCCATGAGAGTTTCCATTCGGCATTATTTCAGCGAAGCCGTTATCGCTTACGAGGAAAAACCACGAGAGCAATGGCTTTTCGATTACCCAGCTCAAGTTTCTCTATGTGGTACGCAGATCTGGTGGACAACCGAAGTTAATTTAGCGTTCGCTCGATTGGAGGAAGGCTACGATAGCGCAATAAAAGATTACTTGAAGAAACAAATATCTCAATTAAGTACTCTGATAACGTTATTAATCGGCGAACTTACTAAACAAGAGAGACAAAAAGTGATGACGATCTGTACGATAGATGTACACTCGAGGGATGTCGTAACGAAGTTAGTTCAGTCAAAGATAGAAACAGCTCAAGCCTTTCAATGGCAAAGTCAATTACGACATCGTTGGGATGAGAAGGAAAAGGATTGCTTTGCCAATATTTGCGACGCTCAATTTAAGTATTCTCACGAGTATTTGGGAAATACTCCTAGGTAAGATATAAGATAAGATAAGAAAGAGGATGAGAAGAGAAGAGAAGATTAATTTTTCAATTAACTTCGACTCTTACGTAATTATTTTTAATTTTGATCTGTCATTTAGGTTAGTCATCACACCACTGACAGACAGATGTTACATAACTTTAACGCAATCGTTACATTTGATCATGGGTGGTGGACCAGCTGGTCCAGCTGGAACAGGTAAAACAGAGACAACTAAGGATCTCGGTAGAGCTCTTGGAATTATGGTCTACGTCTTCAATTGTTCCGAACAAATGGATTACAAATCCTGCGGAAACATATACAAGGGATTGGCGCAAACGGGTGCCTGGGGATGTTTCGACGAATTCAATCGAATCACAGTCGAGGTATTGTCAGTCGTTGCCGTCCAAGTTAAATCGATTCAAGACGCCATCAGGGATAAAAAGGAAAAATTCAATTTCATGGGTGAGATTATTGGATTGGAACCTACCGTGGGAATATTCATAACCATGAATCCTGGTTACGCTGGTCGTACGGAATTACCGGAAAATTTGAAGGCCCTTTTTCGACCTTGCGCAATGGTCGTGCCTGATTTCGAATTGATTTGCGAGATTATGTTGGTAGCTGAGGGATTTCAGGAAGCGAGAGTACTCGCAAGAAAATTTATCACCCTTTACACGTTGTGCAAAGAATTATTATCGAAACAAGATCATTACGATTGGGGACTCAGGGCGATTAAATCCGTTCTCGTAGTGGCAGGAAGTTTGAAAAGAGGTGATCCTGGTAGACCCGAAGAAGAAGTTCTTATGAGAGCCCTGAGAGATTTTAATATTCCTAAAGTAGTCTCGGATGATTTACCCGTCTTCATGGGATTGATAGCGGATCTTTTTCCGGCCTTGGATGTACCCAGAAAACGGGACGTAGAGTTTGAGAAAATGGTTAAACAAGCAGCTACCGATCTTTCATTGCAACCGGAAGATGGTTTCATTCTTAAAGTTGTACAATTGGAGGAATTACTCGAAGTAAGACATTCCGTATTCATAGTAGGTTCTGCTGGATCTGGAAAGACTCAAGTATGGAAGACATTGTTTAGAACGTATCAGAACATCAAGAGGAAGCCTATTTATAACGACTTGAATCCAAAAGCTGTAACCAATGACGAATTATTTGGTATCATCAATCCGGCTACACGCGAATGGAAAGACGGTCTGTTTTCAGTGATCATGCGAGAACAAGCTAATTTAGGAGGGGATAATCCTAAGTGGATTTTGTTGGACGGTGACATTGATCCAATGTGGATCGAATCTTTAAACACTGTCATGGACGATAACAAAGTACTTACTTTGGCAAGCAACGAGAGGATAGCTTTGACCCCAGCTATGAGACTGTTATTTGAAATTTCAAATCTTAGAACAGCTACACCTGCTACTGTATCGCGAGCTGGAATTTTGTATATTAATCCACAAGATTTAGGATGGAATCCATATGTCACTAGTTGGGTCGAGAAAAGGAGCAATCCCGTTGAAAAATCCTGTTTGGTAATGCTATTTGACAAATACATTCCTACGTGTTTGGAAACTTTAAGGAGCAGATTTAAAAAGATCACACCTATCGCCGATATGGCACACGTAGAAATGTTATGCTATTTGTTGAATTGTCTTCTGAAACCAGAATTAACGGCAAATGATTTTCATAAAGATCATTACGAACTTTATTTCGTGTTCGCGGCCGTTTGGGCATTTGGTTCAGCCATGTTTCAAGATCAGACTGTAGATTATCGTATAGAGTTTACCAAATGGTGGGCGAACGAGTTCGATCAGATTAAATTTCCATCGGAAGGCACTGTCTTCGATTACTACATTGATACGGAGACAAAAGATTTTGTTCCGTGGACTGAACGTTTACCAAAGTTCGAGCTTGACCCAGAGATACCTTTACAAGCCGTTTTGGTCTACACTTCTGAATGTATTAGAATAAAATATTTTTTGGATTTATTGATGCCCGAGAAACATCCCGTGATGTTAGTTGGTTCAGCGGGTTGTGGAAAAACCATTTTGGTTAACGAAAAGCTATTACAATTATCGGAAAATTATGCTATCGCGAACGTGCCGTTTAATTTTTACACGACCTCGGAAATGTTGCAAAAAATTTTGGAAAAATCGTTGGAAAAGAAAGCTGGTAGAAATTATGGGCCACCGGGAAATAAAAGTTTGGTATATTTCATTGATGACATGAATATGCCGGAAGTTGATAGTTACGGTACCGTTCAACCTCACACTTTAATTCGTCAGCATTTGGATTATGGTCATTGGTATGACAGAACGAAACTAACACTGAAAGATATACATAATTGTCAGTACGTGAGTTGCATGAATCCCACGGCAGGATCTTTCACGATCAATCCGAGATTGCAAAGGCACTTTGTTGTGTTTGCTGTTAGTTTTCCTAACACCGAATCTCTGACAACGATCTATTCCTCGATATTGTCACAACATCTTGCTAACGTTGAACACAGGTGATTGATGAAGAAATATTTTTCATATTAAATTTGATTTAAACGTTTTGCGAATTGTTCTTACCCGTTATTATTTTTAGATTTCCACTGTGCGTCACCGAACTCTGTCCCAATATCGTTCAAGCCTCAATTCAACTGCATCATCGTTGTGCACAGATGTTCCTACCGACAGCCGTCAAGTTTCATTATATTTTCAATCTCCGAGATCTTTCCAACTGCTTCCAAGGCTTGTTGTTCAGCGGCAACGAGTGCTTGCAATCGCCGATCGATTTAATAAGACTTTGGATGCACGAGACTCACCGAGTTTACGGAGACAAATTGATCGAAGAAAAGGACATTGAAACTTTTTCCAAATTGCAATTGGATATCTTGAAAAAGAACGTTGAGGAAGTCGACGAGGGTTCGATTCTGGAGAAACCAAATATTTATTGTCATTTCGCAGGTACTTTTCTATTAAATAATTCGAATAATCATGATTTTTATATGAACAATTATTTTTTTAGGAGGAGTTGGTGAACCTAAATACATGCCAATAAAAGATTGGAGTACATTACATCGATTATTATCCGAAGCTATGATCAGTTATAACGATCTTGTAGCTGCTATGAATTTAGTGCTATTTGAGGACGCCATGATGAATGTCTGCCGCATAAATAGGATATTGGAATCGCCAAGAGGAAGCGCATTGCTGGTTGGCGTCGGTGGTTCTGGCAAGCAGAGCCTTTCCCGTTTGGCTGCCTTCATAAGTTCCCTGGAAGTTTTCCAGATTCAATTGAAGAAGGGTTACGGCATCGTTGATCTTAAGTTGGAACTAGCGTCGCTATATCTAAAATCAGGATTAAAGAATCTTGGTATTGTCTTTCTCATGACCGATGCTCAAGTACCAAACGAACAATTTCTTGTGTTAATTAACGACATGCTAGCATCCGGCGAGGTTCCCGATCTTTTCGCCGAAGACGAGATAGAAAATATTATAGCAGGTATATTTTCGATTGATACAAAAGTTACAATATTATTCATTGATATTATTTATAAACAGAATATTGGATTTGATTGAACTATTATAGGAGTTAGGAATGAAGTCAAGGGGGCCGGTATGCTGGACACTCGTGAAAATTGTTGGAAATTTTTTATCGATCGCGTGAGACGTCAATTGAGAATAGTTTTATGTTTCTCACCGGTTGGATCCACGCTTAGAGTCAGATCACGAAAGTTTCCGGCTATAGTTAATAGTACGGCTATTAATTGGTTTCATGAATGGCCTCAGGAAGCTTTAATGTCAGTGTCAAAGAGATTTTTGCAAGAACTTAATGAACTTCCAGAAAGTTACAGGTTAATCATTTTATTGTTGTTCTTTTTATTTATAAATGAGAAAGTTGTAATATAATTTTACATTTGTACATGGGAGATTCCATTTTATTTAGGGAATCGGTTGCCAAATTTATGGCTCATGCTCATACGAGCGTTAACACAGCAAGTCGACAGTATTTAACTAGCGAGCGTCGATACAATTACACGACACCTAAATCCTTTTTAGAACAGATCAGTCTCTACACGAGATTGTTGAAAACCAAATCTAGTGAGCTTCGTGCGCGTGTAACAAGATTAGAAAATGGTCTGGATAAGCTCAGATCTACCGCAGTTCAAGTGGATGGTTTGAAAGAAAAGTTGGCAGAACAAGAAGTCGAATTGCAACAGAAGAACGAAGCTGCCGATGCTCTGATTACCATCGTGGGCGTTGAAACGGAAAAGGTTCAAAAAGAGAAGGCGTTAGGTAATTATTTTAACTAACATTAAAATAAGGAGACACATAAAAAATGTCAATAAATTTAACAGCCGACGAGGAAGAATTCAAAGTAGCTGTAATAGCTGAGGAAGTAGCGAAGAAGCAAAAGGATTGCGAGGCGGATTTAATGAAAGCCGAACCAGCTTTATTGGCAGCCCAGGAAGCTTTGAATACATTAAATAAAGCGAATCTAACCGAATTGAAGTCATTTGGTTCGCCACCTGGTGCCGTGACAAACGTGACGGCAGCTGTTATGGTTTTACTTGCACCTAATGGAAAAGTTCCCAAAGATAGAAGCTGGAAAGCGGCTAAGGTATTTTATTAGAAAATTAATTCAACATTTATTGGTCAACTAAATTTTTTTTTCTAGATCGTTATGGCAAAAGTTGACACATTTTTGGATGCTTTAATCAATTACGACAAAGAAAATATCCATCCAGAAGTTATTAAAGCGATACAACCTTATCTGAAAGATTCGGAATTCGAACCGGAATTCGTGAGATCGAAATCCGCTGCTGCCGCAGGTTTGTGCGCTTGGGTGATCAATATCATCAAATTTTATGAAGTTTTTTGCGATGTTGAACCAAAGAGACAAGCACTCGCTCAGGCGAACGCCGAATTGGCTGCAGCGCAAGAAAAATCAGCTATCATTAAACTAAAAGTTGCTGTAAGTGTTCTTCTGTTCGTTAGACAACGTGTTCATAAATTTTCTAAGATCTTATTATTGTTTGTCTCTTAATAGTCTTTGGAAGAACAGTTGGCCAAGTTAACCGCAGACTTTGAACAAGCGACGGCTGAAAAACTAAAGTGTCAACAGGAAGCAGATGCGACTAACGCAACGATCGCACTTGCTAATAGACTGGTCGGTGGGCTGGCATCCGAGAATGTTCGTTGGGCTGAGTCTGTAGCAAGGTAAAAAACAAACAACTAAACATATAACGTAAAGAATATTAAATGGATAATTGTAAACGTTGATAAATATTATAGTTTCATGCAACAAGCATCCACTTTACCGGGTGATGTTCTTCTGGTAACAGCATTTATATCATACGTTGGTTGTTTTACAAAACAATTCCGTCAAGATTTGTTGAATAAGCAGTGGTTACCATTTTTACGAAACGTTGAACCTTCCGTACCAATTACTGAAGGACTGGATCCTCTATCATTATTGACAGATGACACGCAAATCGCCAAGTGGAATAATGAGGGTTTACCAAACGACAGAATGTCAACAGAAAATGCTACCATTCTAATTAGTTCGGATCGTTGGCCACTAATGATAGATCCACAGGTAATCCAATAATTATCTATCGAACTAACGAGTAATAATTAATATACTACTTGTTCATTATATCGCAGCTTCAAGGTATTAAATGGATCAAAGAAAAATATGGCAACGAGTTACGAGTCATTAGATTAGGTCAACGTGGTTATCTCGAAGTTATCGAGCATTCCTTGGCAGCTGGATCAACGGTACTTCTCGAAAACATCGGTGAAAGCGTTGATCCCGTTTTGGATACATTGCTGGGACGCAATTTGATTAAAAAAGGCAAGGCCATAAAGATAGGCGACAAAGAAGTAGAATATAATTCTAATTTCCGGCTTATACTTCATACGAAATTGGCGAATCCTCATTATAAACCTGAGATGCAAGCTCAAACGACATTGATCAACTTCACCGTGACGAGGGATGGGCTTGAAGATCAATTGCTGGCAGAGGTCGTGAAAGCTGAAAGACCCGATCTGGAGGAACTTAAAGCGGAACTAACGAGACAGCAAAATGATTTTAAAATTACATTGAACAGTTTGGAAGATTCTCTTCTTTCGAGGTTGCTTATAATGAAATTTAAAAATTTACATAATCTTTGATTGATCGATTTAACTCTAATGGCAATTTATTATCGTAGATTGTCGTCAGCTGGTAGCAATGTTCTTGAGGACACGTCATTGGTCGAAAATTTAGAAACGACGAAAAGAACAGCTGCAGAAATCGAATCTAGGGTAACCGAAGCGCGTGGAACTAGTCGAGAAATCGATGCTGCACGTGAACTTTATCGACCAGCCGCAGCCCGTGCTTCCTTGCTGTATTTCATTTTAAATGATTTGAACACTATAAATCCAATTTACCAATTCTCGTTAAAGGCCTTCAGCGTAGTATTTCAAAATGCTATTTCAAAAGCCGAGCCTGCGGCAAACGTTAATAACAGAGTACAGAATCTCATAGAATGTATAACCTATTCGGTTTTTATGTACACCACGAGGGGTCTCTTCGAATGCGACAAATTGATCTTTACTTGTCAAATGGCATTTCAAATTCTCTTGGCATGCGACGAAGTTACACCCGGTGAACTCGATTTTCTTTTGAGATTTCCCATAACTCCTCACGTCACATCTCCCGTTGATTTTCTCACGAATACCAGTTGGGGTGGAATTAGGAGTCTCGCCACGAGAGAAGAGTTTCGGTGAGAAATGAAGTAGAAGTACTAGATAAGGAAATAAAACAATTGATTTTTAAATAATGCAATTCCTTTTACAGTAACTTGGACAGGGACATAGAAGGTTCGACGAAGCGTTGGAAGAAATTCGTCGAGTGTGAGTGCCCGGAACGTGAAAAATTTCCGCAAGAGTGGAAAAATAAAACAGCGATACAAAGGTTGTGCATGCTGAGAGCTTTACGGCCTGATCGAATGACTTACGCTATTACCGCTTTTATCGAGGAGAAACTCGGTCCAAGATACACCGAAGGGAGAACCGTGGAATTTGCGAAATCTTTCGAAGAAGCTAGTCCTAGTACTCCGATATTTTTTATCCTATCACCCGGCGTCAATCCTCTCAAGGTAAAGTAACTTTCTCGATATGCTGACGTCTACCAAATTATTATTTATCTTCTGTCGTCCTCTGGCATTTTAGGATGTCGAAGACCTTGGCCGACGATTACGGTTCACGTGCGACAATCAAAATTTCCACAACGTTTCGCTCGGTCAAGGTCAAGAGACCGTAGCCGAACAGGCCATGGATGTAGCTGCTAAGAATGGTCATTGGGTGATATTACAGAATATACATCTCGTGAAAAAATGGTTACCCTTATTAGAGAAAAAATTAGAAACTGCCGCTGATGGGTCCCACGATGATTACAGAGTTTTTATGAGCGCCGAACCGGCAGGCTCGCCTTCCGGTCATATAATTCCTCAGGGTATCCTAGAATCGTCTATCAAAATCACGAACGAGCCGCCAACTGGCATGCAGGCGAACCTACACAAAGCCTTAGATAATTTTACTCAAGAGACCTTAGAAATGTGTTCTAAGGAAGCTGAATTCAAAGCTATTTTGTTCTCTCTTTGTTACTTCCATGCTGTTGTAGCCGAACGACGAAAGTTTGGTCCTCAAGGATGGAACAAGATTTACCCTTTTAACGTCGGCGACTTGAACATTAGCGTTAGTGTGCTCTACAATTACTTGGAAGCTAGTCCGAAGGTTCCTTGGGAAGATTTAAGGTTGATATTTCATCGAGATAATCGATTCGTAATAAAATTTCTTCGATGAAAACTCATTGAGATTTGTTTTTTAATACTCAAAGGTATCTCTTCGGTGAAATCATGTATGGTGGACATATAACTGACGACTGGGATAGAAGACTCTGCGTTTCTTACCTTGAAGAATTCTTGCAACCAGATTTGGTCAATGGAGAATTACAATTAGCACCAGGTATAATTAATTATGTTTTTAAATCTATTATTGTTTTCAAAATATAACGAAATTAACATTTTTATTAAAGGTTTTCCAGCACCACCCAACACAGATCTAGCTGGTTATCACACTTACATAGACGAAGTTATACCTCCGGAATCTCCATACTTGTACGGTTTACATCCAAACGCTGAGATAGGTTTTCTAACAATGACTGCCGAAAATTTATTTAAAACCGTTTTCGAAATGCAACCGAGAGATGCAGGTAGTTCAGGAGGACAGACAGTAACCAGAGAAGATAAGGTATCTCGATGATGACAATTGTTTACTTTAATTAATCGAATTAAAAATCATACGATCCTTTTTAACACAGGTCAAACAAATGTTGGACGAAATAATAGAGAAATTACCAGATGAGTTCAAGATGTCTGAGATAATGGGTAAGGTCGAGGAACGTACACCTTATGTAATCGTAGCCTTTCAAGAATGCGAGAGGATGAATTATTTGACGAGCGAGATCAAACGGTCCCTACGTGAGCTGGATTTAGGATTGAAGGGTGAACTGACGATCACATCGGACATGGAGGATCTGGAGAACGCTTTGTTTCTCGATCAAGTTCCTCCCGTTTGGGCGATGAGAGCGTATCCCTCTTTGTTGGGTCTTACGAGCTGGTTCGTCGACTTATTATTGAGACTTAGAGAATTGGAAAGCTGGTCTACCGACTTTGTTGTAAGATAAAATCCTAACGTACATTTCCTTCCTTTGAATGTTATTCAATTTAACAACACAATCTCGTGATTCCTTTTGTTCAGTTACCAGCCTCGGTCTGGCTCGCTGGTTTCTTCAATCCACAATCGTTATTGACAGCGATCATGCAGTCTACGGCTAGGAGGCAAGAATTACCGTTAGACAAAATGTGCCTTCACTGCGACGTGACGAAAAAGAACAAAGAGGAATTTACGTCGGCGCCGAGAGACGGCGCCTACGTTCATGGAATTTTTATGGAAGGTGCTAGGTGGGACGTCCAGACTGGTATCATAATCGATTCCAAACCGAAGGAATTGTTTCCTCTAATGCCGGTTATAAATGTACGAGCGATTACGCAGGACAAACAAGATTTGAGAAACATGTACGAGTGTCCGGTTTACAAAACACGTACACGCGGCCCCACTTACGTTTGGACTTTCAATTTGAAAACCAAGGACAAACCTGCTAAATGGACTCTAGCGGGGGTTGCACTTTTACTTCAAACTTAATTAATTTTATTTCATTAGTAAAATCACGATCGTACCTGAATTAAATATAACTATAACTATATATGTATCTGTGTTAAATAACGTCTATAGAAAATGATAGGTAATATTTACATGAAAGCTTGAACGTTTCAAAGAATACTCTCACAAAGAAAAAAAGGGACGGAAACTTTAATCTCATCTTGTCACTTAGTCTAATCGAAGTCGTTGCTCAGTCGCGATTACTCGACGTAAATAGGACGTAGATCGTCGGACGGTACTCCCGGAAGACCGGATAGGACGGCAGGCCACACGAAAATACTAGGACATCGACTAATCGAGCGAAGGTTAATAAAACGAAAGACGGAGGAAACTAACTCGAAGTCTCGGAGGAGGTATCCTCCCTCTTTCCCTCCTTCCTTCCTTCCTTCGAGAACGAAAAGGTCGAATTTTCTACGATGGGGAAAAAAGAAATTATCCGTCATTCGTAGAAACTGCTTTCTTGGATAAGAACGAACAAAGCTGTAAGAAAGTAGGGGGAAGGGGGGGTGAGGGGAGGAGGATCAATACCAAATGGTGGGAGTAGTAAACAAAAGTTGAAATTTAAACCGGCTACAAAGTATCGGTCAATTTAATTTACGAGTCTGAAAACTTTAACTAAAAGCGATAGAAGGAACAAAAAAGACTAAGAAAGAAATGAAGAAAGATGTTTAAAATGAGTTACAAGGAAAGAAAGAAGGATGGTGGTATTAAAAGATACAAGATTTATCCAGGTTGGAAACATAAAAGCTTTCAGATTGCGGCAGCGGATCAAAATTGTATCGTGTTAGCGAAAGAAATTTGATTTCCCGTTCGAGGAGTGAGAACGTCGTCCACGTATAAGAAAAGCGGTGCAATTTTTGTATTCGTAGTTGTCGTCGTCTTTCGTCGGAGGAAAAACGATTTTCCAAAATAGAATGGAACCCTCCATCAAATATGCAGAGGTTATTAGCTCAGGAAGGAGCGAAGAAAAATGTTTGCTCTTCTCCCCTTTTTTTTTTTCTTTTCCTTTTTTTTTTTCTCCTTACTTTGATACAACCCTTAGCGCCAAAGGGAACGGCCGTACTTCCGATAAACTCGAGAAGTTTCTTCCTAGGTAGACTAAACTCGAGCGGTTTCAAAGTTACTATTACTATTTTCTTGAGTTCCCCAGGTGAGAGAATTTCCTTTAACTCTATCGTCGTTGGAAAAAAGAAAAAAGAACAAAAATAAAAGAATAACTTCTACTTTGGGATAGGGTAAGAGAGAGAGAGAGAGAGAATGGGATATTAAAGTTGCCTCATGAATCCCATCGGATGCAACGCCTATAGTAGAGGAAGGGAAGACAAAATTATCAGCCCTTTGATGAAGCTCGGTGATTGGTTCGGAAATACCCTCAACACCGCGATTTCGCGTTTCATCGAGCTTCTCTCTCTCTTTTTTTTTCTTTCTTATTTTCTTTGTATTTTCTTCTCTTTTTCTATTGCTTACCAGACTTCAATCACGCTTTTCATTAAGCCATGCTCGAAGATGAAAGGTATGGGGGGGCTCGGATCGAATATCCGTATATGTTTCGAACGAGAGCTGCCAGGCTAGGTATATCCAAACGATTTTCTTCTTTCTTTCTTTTGCGCTCCTCCTTTATACAATAACATTAAATTCAAAACTTCAATGGCTAATTGGCTGCGAACCATTCGTTAAATGATATCCTACTGAAAAGTAAACGACTATTGTCGGGACGACGTGGATAAAGTTTCTTTCCTATAAAAGGAAAAAAAAAAAAAGAAAAAAAAAAACAAAGAAATAAAGTATTATACAGATCTTAAGTGACTTTGACTAAACTCTTTTTCTCTGTACAATTCGCGTGTCGTGAATATTTAATTAATGAAAATTGAAACCATAATGAATTATCAATAATATAGTCTTCTTCATCTTTGAAAAATGAAAATTAAGAATTGCACGCTTGATATCGTGCTAGTCCATAACTGTGAATTCCGTCTGGATATTAATGGAACGTCGTTAGCATGACAAATCACTTGTCAGAACGATGTGTCACTCGGTTCGAAACTTGTTACCTGGATCTTCGATGGCATATCAATGGATAATATCGATCCAAGTGATCGATACGTTCTCTTCCTCATAGGAAAATTCGTTCGGATTTTGCTGATAAATAATATATCGATATCGCGATAGATGGATATTATACTCCGACGAAGGTATTTTAATTCGACATTTCTCCGATAATCCTGCTTTTGTCTCAATTGCAACGATTTATCTACCAGTCGTATTTACAAAGAGATTACAAAAATATAGTATGGATGGAAAAAGTTATTTTTTCTTTTTTTTTCTTTTTTTAAATAATAAGAAAATATATCAAATACTCTCATCGATCCCTTCGTCGTATCGATCCGAATTTCTAATGCACCATGAGAAAATATAAAAAGGACCGTATCCGGACCCTTTCGGTCTGTCTTGTGCAATAAATTCGAAGAGAAGTTAATGGTTTCCTTTGTCCTCCTTTGTTTCGAACGGAAGACGATCCTAAGAAAGTCATTTTTCATCGAACACCATCGGTTGGTGAACATGCCGGAATCGCTCGTTTCGTCAGGTTAATCATTTTTAAAGGACCGACCGCAGGTGGCAGCGGTTTCGTCATATTCCTCCTGGTTCTTCTATTAATGTTTGTCGGATGGTATGCGAGCGAGCGAGACGACTCACTTTAGAAATTAAATTTTCTACTGTTTGTCAGTAAAAGAGAAAAATAGAGAAAGAAAGAGATAGATCTCATGATGGCAGAGGGATAATGAAACGGCGCGAAGCCTGTGCACAATTTGTTTTGCATACAACTCACATTTTTCACCGTGACCCTTCTTTCTTTGTCTCTTAACTCTCTCTCTCTCTTTCTGTCTTTTATATTTCTTTCTTTATCTTATTTTACTTTCACAAAATCAAAGATTACAAAGAAGTGTCACCTAAGTAGTAGATCTAACAAGCAAATACATTGCTATAATTAACACGTTCGTAAGAAGAAAATATTGGAACGAATAGAAGCTTAAATCGTTTGAGTATATATGTATAGATATATATAACATAATATACTATAATTAAGATTATATTTCAACTATATATCTTTTCTTTAAGATTAAAAATTTGGTTATAAATTTGGTATGAATTGTAAGGAATAAATGTAAGGTAGTTATTACTGTAGAGACTATCCAGGTATCTAACGTGTCCGAGTAGGGGCACGTGCTCGTAATAATTCTCTGCTCCTACCCTTTCTGAATTCTCTCGGCTAATGCTGTGCCAACAGCATGAGCTTCCTTTTTTGTCGGTCCATGCCGACAAATTCGACCCCACCTTCTGGCCGCTTTGTCTTCGACCACCCTCGAAGAATGAGAGGAATAAGGACAGGAGAAAGCAGCTCGCGCGTGTTGCCCTTAAATACTGTGCCAGTGGATTTGGGAACTCCAACACTATGATAGAACCTTACGCGTATCTTCCTTTTCCTCTTTCGAGAACATCAACTAAGTTTATATATATACTAGGTTAGCTGTGTTAATCTCTAAATGGATTTACTTTTTAAAAGTACGAAAAAATACAATCGATAAAATTAACAAAACAATGGTAATTAATATTCGCATTATAATGACAAATTCAATTCCGATGTTATCTTTCGAAAATTAATAAATAATAATAATAATAATAATAATGACGATGATGATGATGATGATTTATTTTCAATCAATTTTAAATAAGAAACAAAATATAATATTTTGAATATGAAAAGTCGATGGATGAAATTGTAATTAGCGATTGCAGGGCGAAAAGGGGTTGTTTGGGTTCCTGTATATATTTCCGTTCTTTCGCGTAATACGTCACCACGATGATTATTCGAGCGTGAGCTCTGATATTCGAAGCAGAGTAACGAAGTTCGAAATCGCGACGGATGCGTCAGGTTCTTCAAAGTAAGGTAGAAATGTTGAGAGAATTAATTAAACAGATATAGGACAGAGGAAAGGGGCGGAAACTAAGTACATATATATATGTATATAGGGAAAGATAGGGTAACTCGAAAACTGGAAGAAGAGAGAGAGAAAGAGACCTTTGAGCGGCAAGTCTGTAAACCAATCAGTGACGCCTCGCCGATAGTGGGACTAAAGTCGAGCTAGCTGGATCGCTCGAGTGAACTGTTTAGTTGATTACGATATAACTTGGACCGTTCTGTCGATTCTACTCACGTTTCTCGACAAATTTTTGCTTGCTCCTACAGGATATACCTCGGACGAAATCTTGACAGCCAACGCAGCACTTTGCTTCGACGCAAAAGAAAAAAAATTTCCTACGATTCTTCTAAACGTCTCTCATAGACGGATATATGAGGGAGGAGTCGAACTATCGTTAAACCGAGAACGACAGATAATTTTCGAAAGATTTATGACAGATTTTATATCGTAGAATTTTTGTCGAATTTATCGACAACGTTCTTAAACTTAAACAAAAAACTAACTAGTAACCTTTTTCATTACAAAATGATACTCTATAACCACGTGTTTTTTAATTCATCAAAAATAACAAACAAACAAAAATAAACAAAATAAAAGGTATGATTAGTTTTTGATCGTATACTACATACCCCCTATCTACCTCGTTCTATCCGTCACGCAGTATTTAATCTTTATCGATCAATATCGAACAAAAGAATGGCATGGCCTGTATAAAGAAGATAAAGGAGATAGTCCTGGAGAAGTAGGGTGAAAATGGAGCTATAGTTTTGAAGGAAGTGTAAGGGTGGTGGTATTCAGGGTAGAACCATTGTAGAACCATTCGTTTGGGAAAATGCAAGGAAAAGTCGGAAAATACAAGGAGGCATCTGCCTGAACACACGGTGTACGTGAGTCGACACCAGATATCCTACTCCCTAGGCGAGTATTCTCGCGGGACACGACAGAGAAGAGATATTCGATAGGCTCGAACTTCGCCAAACAGTGCTCAGAGTCGATTGTATT